GCTTTTCAGGGTTTTTTGAAGTGCTTTCACTAACGTTATTTTACTTATCTCCTTTATTTAATCTGTATTTAAACACATGCTCCTAAATTGTAAACTTCCCTGTAGCTTTCAGTTCTAATTAAGGGAAATAGACAAGAAATGAAACAAAAGAGATGATTATAAGGTAATGAGGCTGAATTTTTTTTAATGTATTAGATTTAATACACATGAATGTATGTTGGGCTTTTCTAAGTAGCTTTTTTAGAAAAGCTAAGCACTTTAAAAATTATTATAATCGTGGAACTCCTTTAAAAAATATTGCATTCAGGGCTTACCAAATAACCTTTTGTACATATTTAGGGATGCCAGATAGGTGTCCTTTGAGGATATCGAGTTTTAGGAATCAGCCTAAAGTCTTTGGATATGAGTTTGGTAAAGGTACTAAGTGATGAAATACCATTTGGGGTCTTATTGTTGACTACAGATTATGTAACTTATTTTTTTCAGTCCCTAAAGGCAGTTGTTCAGATGGAATATAAAATGTTTAATGTTGGCAGCATATTAGAATAGGTATAACCTTCTAGTGAAACTACTTTGAAGGACCTAGCATTCACTTCAATGCATATATTCTGGCACATTTGTTAAACAACCAGTATCATTATGTTATAGTGTCTCTTACCATGAGGAGTAGAGTATATAACGTATACTTACTTTTTCTTTTGTACATCTTTACTAGCTTCTTATCCCTCTCAGGTTGAGCATGTGATCACCTTCATAGGGATGAGTCCTTAAGTATTACTTTCCATAATAGTTTCAGGGTTGTGGGTTTTTAACCCTTAAAAATAAAAAAATAGTGGGAAAAAGGGAAGGGTGGTGGGAAATGCTTTAAAATTACATTCTGTAAATTTTACTTTGTTTATACTTTATTTTTAAATCTGCCTTGCCTATCAGGAAGTCCAACAAACAAGCTCTCCACGGCTCAGGTCTCCCAAGGAACAGGTTCTCCTATTCCCAAAATTCATGGAAGTAGTTTTGTAACATCTAATGTCAAGGTAACACTCTTAATGCATTATTGCACTTTGCTAGTTTCTAAAGACAGTGTGTTTAGCCTCAGTAAGAATGCATCAGTTGATGATGCAAATTCCATAAGGTAGAGTCATCAAGCTGATAAGTGTCTTGAAGATCACCTACTCCAGACTCCACTACCTTGCTTTGATCTTTTCCTAGTGTAGAAAATGCTTTTTAAAACTTCTATCAAATGATCACTCAGTATCTATTTGAAAACTTACTGTGATGAGGAAGTGGCCTTGTTTATTTACTTATTTATTTATTTGGACAGTTTTCTTAAAATAATTACCTCGAGGGCCATAACTCTGCCAATTTATTTTTTAATGTTTGTTTTTGAGACAATGTCTTGTTCTGTTGCCCAGGTTATAGTGCAGTGGCATCATCATAGCTCGCTGTAATTTCAAACTCATGGGCTCAAGCGATCCTCCTCCTCAGCTTCCTGAGTAGCCAGAACTACAGGCATGCACCACTATGCCTGGCTAATTTTTCTATTTTTTGTAGAGATGGGTTTTGCTATGTTGCTCAGGCTAGTCTCGAACTCCTAGCCTCAAGTGATCCTCTGCCTCAGCCTCCCAAAGAGCTGGGATTACAGGTGTGAGCCACCATGTCCGACCTTATTTTTTAATGTTTGTTAATGATCTTTTTCATTACATAGTCAAGAAGTGTTCTTAACTTTGCTTCTTGCTCCTACAGTTTATGGCAAATTGGCTCTATTTTTGCATTTTGTGTTTGAGAATTAAAGATAAGCTAGAGTAGTTTTGAATGTTGACCATTTTTATCTTTGCATATGCTAATTATTTAAGTTCTTTTTGTTGCTTTATTTTTTAAATCATTATTGAAAAATTTTCCCTTGCATTCTGAGTATTTATTGAGTAAATTTTACAAATCAAGTTGTGAGTACTATTAAAAGAGAGTATATACTGAAACATTGCAACTGCCTGTTTCTTTCTTTCTTTTTTTTTTTTTTTTGAGACAGAGTCTCACTCTGTTGCCCGGGCTAGAGTGCCGTGGTGTCAGCCTAGCTCACAGCAACCTCAGACTCCTGGGCTCAAGCGATCCTTCTGCCTCAGCCTCCTGAGTAGCTGGGACTACAGGCATGCACCACCATGGCTGGCTAATATTTTCTATATATTTTTAGTTGTCCGATTAATTTCTTTCTATTTTTAGTAGAGACGGGGTCTCGCTCTTGCTCAGGCTGGTCTTGAACTCCTAAGCTCAAACAATCCGCCCATCTCGGCCTCCCAGAGCACTAGGATTACAGGCGTGAGCCAGCACACCCGGCAAGTTTATTTCTTTATTTAGTGCCTAGACTCTAGGAATGTAAAAGAAACAAAATAACAGTCTTTGTCTTTTAGTGATTTACAGTCTGGCAGGGAATTAAACATGCAGACTGATGAAGTCTGCCAAATATTAGTGGTAGTAAGATAGCAGTCTTTCCAGCATACAGCAGGGCACAGATGAATAGGTTCTTAGCAAGTTATAGCTTTTCTTTGCATTTGGTTTCTAAAACAATATTAAAATGCAGATGTAGGCTGGGCGCTATGGCTCATGCCTATAATCATAGCACTCTGGGAGGCCAAGGTGGTAGAATCACTTGAGCTCAGGAGTTTGAGACCAGGCTGGGCAAGAGCGAGACCCCATCTCTACAAAAAATAGAAAAACTTAGCCGGGCATGGTGGCTCGAGACTGTAGTCCCAGCTACTCAGGAGGCTGAGGAGGAGGATCGCTTGAGCCCAGGAGTTTGAGGTTGTAGTGAGCTATGATGACGCCACTGCAATCTAGCCTGGATGACAGATAGAGACTCTGTCTCAAAAAAAAAAAAAAAATGCAGGTGCAGAGGCTTGGAAGACCCCACACAGTTTCAGGCTTTTTGTTTTGTTTTGTCTTTTGGTGGTTTATGTTTCTAGGGAATGTCACAGGTTTGTATCAGATATAAATGACTAGAATATCTGAAATCACCAATTTATCTTGATTGTAAAATATGTATTTTTACACACACAGCAGGAGGATTCTTTGTTTGCGTCTATGCCACCTCTTTGCCCAATTGGGAGTCACCCGAAGGTTCAAAGCCCCAAACCTGTAACTGGGGGACTTGGAGCTTTCACAAAAGTGAGTATTTATTAGGGCATTGTACTGCAAGTGAATATGGTCTTGTTTCATAATTGTTTTTGTGGAATGTTGGAGTTCATTGACACTACTGCTACAACATGTTACTTTTTAGAATGTCTCAACTGTTAAGACCAGATGTTAGTTCTGAGACATGCTTTCATTTATTCATTGGTGTTCACAGGGCAACTCTTAGAGTCCAGCAAGATGGGAATTCAGAGAGCACAAACAGTGTGTTTGTTTCTTTCTTTTGCCATATGTCACCAATCTCTGAAACAAGCGACTAGGTTGAGTTTGCAAGAACACAGGATCAAGTCCAGATCCTACTTTTGGTCCCTTTAATAGCTAAATGCTGTATTTAAACAGCATTTTTACCCTTCTGGTGGAATCTTTCTTTACAGATGAGGCTTCATAAATTTATTAGTCCCTGCAAAGAGAATAGATCATATTAATAGCTTTTTAAAAATGAGATATTTATTCAGTGTCATTATCCTGTTTCTTGCAAGGTAATCATCAAACAGGAACCTGGTGAAGCCCCTCACGTGCCCACCACAGGAGCTGCCAGCCAGTCACCACTTCCTCAGTATGTGACTGTGAAAGGGGGTCATATGATAGCTGTGTCTCCTCAAAAACAGGTCATAACTGCTGGAGAAGGGACTACCCAGTCACCAAAGATTCAGCCCTCCAAGGTTTGTGTTGGGTAGGGATGGGAAGGTCAACATATAAATGAATGTCGTTTTCCTAAATAATTGACAAATGATGAAAAGATTCAAAGTGACAGAGGCTGATCCCATAAAAACCTGTAGATGAAAGCCCAGTTGGAAAAGCAAGTCAGTTGATGTTGACGCATTGACTGCCACACTAGAAAAATAATTTCTTTTCCTTAGGGCCACGGTGTTTTATTACGAAAATATTAATAGAATAAAAACTTCGAAAACTAAATGATTCTTTCTAGTTTAATGAAAAATTTGTTGATTTTATTGTTTTTCTTTGCATAAGTTATATGCAACTTGAAAAATAGTTCTTGTGGCTCCCAAGGTAAAGAGATGTGTGAGTTACATATGCTTCACGAGCTTCCGGGCTGAAAACTAATGTGAATTAAATACAACTCATGTGGCAGTTAATGTGTTAAACCCTTCTGCTCCTATAGTAATCATTGACAAGAGCTGGGGCATATATTATAGATGGTCCAGAAATAGTTCAAGAGGCAAAGAGACACTGTGTTGTCTCTGGCAGTGAAAGTGACTGACTTCATAGATTCAGCTTTCCACTTGATTCAAATCTAAAATGGGTCTACTGTTTCCCTTATTTCTGATAGGGGAGTGCTACAGTTTACACCTGTGATGTCCAGGCTGTGTGATGTTGATTAATTCTTGGCTCTCTATAGAGAATTTTTTTTCCTTATAATTTGGGGGTATAGGGGAATTAATATATTTGGAGAACTGTAAAATAATACATAGGTCCATGTTTTCCTGAGTCAATTAGAAATACAATTATATGTTGCTTATTGACAGATATAGTCTAAGAAATGTGTTGTTAGGCAGTTGCATTGTTGTTTAAACATCACAGAGTATATTTACACAAACCTAGATGGTATTATAGCCTACTACATGCCTAGGCTCAATGGTACAGTCCTGCAGTCCTCAACCCCTGGGCCTTGGACTGGTACCAGTCCATGGCTTGTTAGGACAGGGCCACAGAGCTCTGTCGTCCCCCACTCCCGTCCGCGGAAAAATTATCTTTTATGAAACCGGTCCCTGGTGCCAAAAAGGTTGGGGACCGCTGGACAGTCTATTGCTCCTAGGCTACAAACCTGTACAGAATATAACTATACTGAGAACTGTAGGCAGTTGTAATACAATGGTAAGTATTTCTGGATCTAAACATATCAGAGCATAGAAAAGGTACTGTAAAAATAACAGTGTTATAATCTCATGGGACCAGTGTCAGAAATGGGGTCTGTTGTTGACTGAAATGTAGTTATGTGATACGTAACTTTAGCATCCGTTGAGTGCTTTTGTATGCCATGCTCATATTTACTTTATCTGTAATCCTCACACAACACTGCAGGATGGGTATTTTCACCCTCACTTTACAAATGACAAAACTGTGGCCCTGAGAGGTTAAGCAACTTCCTCGAGAGCGTACAGCTTATGAGGGACAGAGGTTTTGAACCCAGGCCTGCTGATTCCAAACTCCCAATTTCAAACTAATGAAAATTTGTGAGCCATTGTCTCTAACCTAAGCATGCTTTTAGAACATCCAGAGTTAAATTATCTCAATTTTTTGGCAGGTGTATTCTAAAGCTATTAAGAATATTATGTGGGTGTTTGTTTTTCAACTTGAAAGCCAGCTTGTCTAGGGAGAGTGAATTGCTTTGAGAGGAATATTTCTAAAATAGAAAAAGATTTTAAATATTACATAGCTAGATAAGGATCAAGATAAAAATTCATGGAGTTACAGGTGGTTTTAAGTTCTGTAAAAGTTTATTAACTACTTTCCCAGCCATATCTGGTGTAAGAATTATCTGCTGATTAAAAAAATATAGATACATATTCCTCCATCTCAAACTTACTGAATCAGAATCTTCTTGAGAGCCTTAGGAATCTGGATTTTTGATCAGCTTTTCCCTGCTGATCTGTATGCTTAGGCAAATTAAGGAACCATGGAGCTGTAGCATCAGATTTGATTTAGGGGCTTCCATAGCCAGGATCATTAAGACAGGCATCCCCAACTGCCTCCCAATGCTCCCACTATTGTTTTGGCCCCACAGGTAAGCATCTGTCAACCTCCTTTAGTGAACATTTATTGTCATCTGAACTCTCTATTCACACTTGTTCTGCTGTATGTTCCTAAAAATTTATTTTGCTTCACATAGGAATGTATGGTTTTACCAATTTAGATTTTCAGTCAATCTAGCATCACTATTTATGATGAGAAGCTGAGGGAGAAGTTTAATCTACACTTTTTGCCAGTCCATTCCTCTAGTAATGCTCAACAACTGTACTGTCTTGACACATTGCCATCTACGTAATGGTAATATAGAACTAAGAGAAAATAGGTGGGGTTTGTGTTAGAATGCCCTGAATACAGTTTAAAGATGCCCGAAAAGAAGAGCCACAGCAGAATGTGAAAGAACTGCAAAGAAGCAGTAGAGCATGAAAAAAGTCATGGCTGGCTGTCTAGGAAATTTAGTGCATACTTTGCACTTGGGATAAGGAGCCAACTACAAGAACAGACTGTCCCTGGTTATTGCAAAGGGCATTCCTAGAAACTATGCCAGAAAACAAGAGGATGGAAAAAGTGGTACTGTTTCCCATACAACATTGGCACACTAGAAACACAGTTTATTCACCATTAAATGGGAACTAATTGATCAACACTTATACGCACATATGGAAATAACATTCATCAGAAATCAAGCAGGTGGTGGAGGTCGAGAGGGGGATGGGTAAATTCACCCCTGACAGGTACAATGCACACTTTCTTGGGGATAGGCACACTTATAACTTTGACTCAAACAGTACAAAAGCAATTTATGTAACTAAAACGTAAATTTATGTAACTAAAACATGTACCCCTGTAATATTCTGAAATTTAAAAATAGCAAAACCCAAACAACAACAAACTTTTCAATACTTCACCCTTGCACATTACTTATAAAAGAAATTTTGACCATATAGTTCATGTATGTGGAAAATAGAAAAAATTAAAATTAAAAAATGTTTTGAATTCTAAAAAAAAAAACAGAAACACAGCTTATGTTTTTCCTGAAAGTGGAGAGAGGTGCTGCCTTTGACGAGAAAGGGGGCAACTGAGGAATAAATGGGTTCACGTGGGAAGGAAGCAGTATGGTATAGTAAAAAGAGCTTGAGCTTTGGAATTAGAGCTTGTTGCAGATCACAGCCACTTACTACTTTTGTGACCTGGGCAGGTTACCTAACCTCTCAACCCTGGTTTTTTCATCTAATAAAAGGGAATAATACCTCTTGTCTTTCAGAGTTGTAGGAGATTTAGATCATTGTATATAAAGGACCTAGCACAGAGCAGGTGCTCAGTAAATAGTAGCTAATGTGAATGTCATGTGTATACGTGCCCAAGTACCATGGTAATAGTTACCATTGAGCACTTAACTTGTAAATGGTTGTATTTTTTAGTATCTGGAGGGAAAAATCACATATACAGAATCTTCCCCTGAAGTAAATTTTAACTTGCCAAAGGTATGTACAGGGCACAGGGAGGGCAGAAATAGAAACATTGAATCCAAGTGAAGTATTTATAACAAATACAGAGCAATGGGTGTCTGCTTTTTAAAACTAGGAGGAAATTAGCAATACAGAGAAGTGTGAGAGGATGAGAAGAGTTAGGTGGTAGGTGCATTCAGGTTCGAGGCTGAAGTGTGCTGTTAAAAAAAGCTAAATTAATTTGGGGTTATAGTGTCTAGTTTCAGAGGCCTTACCCTCCTTCCATGTGGTGTCCATAATCAGCTGGGCCTAGAATTTTTCCTAATAGAATGCAGACTTCCTCATTCTTTTGTTTTCTAGAACAAAGTGGGGCAAGGGCATTCATCTTGCAAGTGGTTGCACGTAGTGGATAAACTAATAGTAAAGACTGCTCTCCTGTGGCCAGTTTGGGACATCATGTTTTATCAGGCTCTTGGAGAGATTAAGTGTGTCATAGCCTGGAAACTTTGAAGCAGTTGGCACAAGAAGGGAAAAGTAAGTCAGATGTATGGAATTTTGGGAAAAAGATCAAAATAGGTCCACTATGTATGTACTGATTTCCTTTAAAGTCTTTGCTTTCTTTGTTAGTTTAGGAACATAAAAATAAGCTGTCTGTAATTTAATTTATGAAATAGATTATTAAGTTTGATGTGTTTAGGAGATGTGAAGATTCTTGTCTTAGGAAAAAAGTGGAACTGTTATAGCGGAGAAATCTAAACACCAGAGGCTTAAATAAATTTCTCTCTCTCACACATAAAAGACCAGTGAGCAGTTTTGCTTGGTGGTTCCATGGTCTTCAAGAATCTAAACTCCTCCTGCCTTTTTGCCTGGCATTGTCAAATTTTGGTTTTCAGCTTGTGGGCTAAGATAAGCACTTCATATTGTGTCACCATGTTCACACTTGTTGCCAGCAGGAAGGGAGCAAGGGGAAAACCAAGGGCAGGCACAGCCCAAAAGTTACACTCATCATTTCTGCTCACGTCTCTTTAGCCAGAAATCAGATTGCCACACCTAGGTGCAAGAGGGCTGGAAAATACAGTCGTGATTCTGTATGAGACCATGTGCCCAACTAAAAATTGGAGCCTGTTACTATATGAGAGAAAAGGAAAGAATAGATAGTTGGAGTTCAACTAGCAGTTTCTTCCACACCCCAAAAATGTTTTTCTATATAAAGAAACTTTTTATAAATGTACAGGAAAGTTCTTGACTAGTAAGAAGGGTTTCTGTATCTCCGTATCTCTAGGGAAATGACCTCACCCCTCTCTGTGGCCACAGAAACTCCCAGGTCCCCTACAGAATGAGGCTCATACAGTTAAAGAAAAGTAGGGTATTTCAACAGGCTTGGAGAGCTGGGGGAATTTCTCATCTCCATTCTGGGCTAACTTGCTTTTTTTCATTGGTTCGTTTATTTTGTTTCTTCCTTCTTTCCCTCCCTCCTTCCTTAAACATACATAAAAGTAGAATAGTATAATGAATCCCATGTACCCAGTACCCAGTTTTAACAATTATCAACATTTTGCCAATCTTATTCCTCTTCCTGGAATATTTTAAAGCAGATCCCAGATGCTATATAATTTCACTCAAGATTAATTTCTATTTGAGTAACTGAATCTAGGATTTAAGATCAAGGTCTCTGCCTTGACCAAATGCTGAAGATAGCAACAAATGTTTGTCCTTCAGCTCTCCTTTTCTAGTCTCCATGTCAGCTCATGGAGTACCATTCTTCAGTTAATAATAAGTGTCATGGTTAGCAGCAACAGCAGCTAGGCATTTTATAAATTTATTCTCTTTTTGCTTCATGATTTTATGAGGTATTAATAAATATCATCTGTATTTTATAGATGAGGCTAATGCTAAAGCTCAAACAGGTTAAATAACCTAGCTACAACTTGGTATAACTGAACTGGGAAACCAGATCTGTCTGCTTACAGAAGCCTGTGGTCTTTCCTCTTTATTACACAGTTGATTAGAGACTGTTTTCTTTATATCATCCATATTATGCAAGAACAAAACACATGTATTTTACTGTACTCACAGTCTTTGAATAGAAACCATATATGATTTAGTAATTTATATAAAACATCCCATTCATTACTGGCATATAATTTATCATTTTATTTCACCTCCTAAATAATCCTGTTATTTTTTAATTTAGAAAGATTTTTAAATTTCAGTAAAATATAGAGAAAATATAATCAGCACCCATATATCTTCCACCCCAAGTTAACATGTTCATATTTACCCAGATCTTTTTTTAAAATTTTTTTATTCACATAAACATTGGTTTAATATACTAGTCTAGATAGGTTGTTAGGCATAAGTACATTATACAAAAATCAAAACCAATACATCCCCCTTTAATGACGTCTAGCTATGTTTCTGCATATTTTGTACTAGTCATTTAATTATTTGCAAAATCAGCTGTACTTGTGAATGGGGAAAAAAAGCTAAGCAATCTTAGCACCATGACTAATTTCAACTTCACAAGCACTGACCATATTTTCTTAGCATAGCCACCAACATTCATCCCCTTCTGGAATTGGGAGGCATAAGGCCAAGTGATTAGTCTGTCACCTCTCATGGGTGACATGAAAATTTGAATTTGTAACCAATTCTCATATGAATCGAATGTTTTTAATATTACAGCAGCAGATTTTTCTGTTTAAAGGGCAGTTTTTAAAAGGTGTCAAATATGCCCCCAATTTTTCCAGTCATGTGCCAAAGATTTAGACCTTCCCTGTTCAAAAAGGAAGTCAGTTTACCAACTCTTTGCTAATTAAAGGATGCAAAATTAAGTATTGTCAATACCCAATAGTGAAGCACAGCTCCTCTTTTTCCCCCAAAGAGTTATTGGGAATCATTAATGAAGTCAAGCTGCTGGATGACAGTTGACAGTTGCAAGTGGCTCTCCAAGAGCTCAGATCTTTTGTTCTGCAAATAAAACATGACTGATAAAAGTTGTAGTCCACTTTGTTCTTCCTAGAAGCGACACTGTCATGACCTTTGATGTGTAGCCTTCCAGTCCATACTTCTATTACATAAATATATAGCCATAGAAAACATGTAATATTTGTGTTTTGAAGCTTTTCATGAAAGATATTTGTATATATATTTTTATGTATGTCCCTTTTCACTCAATATGTATTCTTGCAGTCTTTATATGCTAAAATATATATGCTTCTACAGGGTGTCCCAAAAGTCACCATACATAGGGAAAACAGGAAATTGTAGCTAAATGTACCTTTATTTACAAAATTTTTCCTTCGTATGGAGACTTTTGGGACTCCCTATACTTCATTCATTTTTGCTAATGTATGATACTCCATTGTCTATCTTAAATCACGGTTTATCCATTCCTCTATCTGTACATATTATAATGTTGTTATATGCTATAGACATTAGGTTCCTAATAGTTTTTTGAAATTACAAATAATGCTCCCTTGGACATTATTCTATACGTTTCCTTGAGCACAAGTCTAAAATTTCTGTGGGATATATTCCTAAAAGTAGAATTCCTACTGTTAGGGGTATGTGAATTTTCAATTTTAGCAGATACGCCAGTGCCTCTCCAGAGTGGCTGTAGAAATTTACCTTTCTACCGGCAGTGGACTAAAGTTCCTATTTCCCCATAGCCTCTAGCCAATTCTTGGTGTTATCAGACTTTTAACTTTTTTTTCCCCAATCTGATATGTAAAAAGCACTTTCTATTTTATCTTTTTTGCCTTAAGAAGGCAGATCATTTGCATTTCTTACACTCTTATGAAAGTCTTTTCATCTAGTTTCTGGTGAGTTCTTTTTATGAAATAAAGAAATGGGAGTGGGAAACAATGTCCCAACTTAACATTAATTAGTTTCCTCTAATTTAACTGTTTACTTTGTTTTAAAAGAGCTCCAGAGTATTTTTTTACTTGAAAGGGTTCACTTTACTTTCAGAGCCAGATATTTCCAACTTTAATTATTTGGATATTGAGGTCTTTTTTTTAAAAAATCCAGTTAAATATTATTCTTGCTTAAACATTTTGAATCAAGTATTCACCTTCAAGGAAAGGAAAGATTAGGAAGACATAGCGAAAAAGATAACTTTTCTTAAAATTCAGTCGCAAGAAGTGCTGTATATTATAAGTGATGTGAGCTGTTAGAAGTTACAGAGACGAAAGAAGAGATTATCATTTCAGATGGGGATAATATAGAAGTTACTGAAGAGGTGATATTTAAAAGTATCTACTGGAATTTATAGTTCTTATATGAGAATGTTTATTGCACAGTTTTTTATAATGTAAAATTTTAAATTACCCAAATATCCAACAGTAGTGAAATGTTCTCCTACGTAGATTATGATATTGTCTATTCTAATATATTCTTATTTGGTCATTTAAAAATAACATTGGAAAATGCTTGTGATGTTTAAAAAGTTACAAAACTATATGTACAATGTGATCCCAATTCTGTCGTTTTAAAATGTACATTAGAAAGAATTGGAAGTAAATACATTAAAAATGTTTGAGATTATTTCTGAATGAGTAGAGTTTTTTTCTTTATGCTTATGAATTTCCCAAATTTTCTATTAAAAAATGATTTATTATCAAAGTAAGTTATAAAAGTAGGCAAGGTAAGACAACAGTCTTTAATCTTTTACTATTATAATATCCAAAATGTAAGAAATAATGGTTGTTCTTTCACATCTGTCCAGATAGCATTCTTAGATGACTGAATTAGACTCCGTGTGTTATAGCTAGGCCTTTGCTCCTTGCTAGAACAGAGTGACTGCTATTCTAAGAGCTCTCAAAGGGACTATGAGAAGCAGCACTGTTGGACTCTTTTCTATTTTGAACAGGTTGTTGGGGTGCCAGTTGGGTCTGCTTTACCTTCAACAGTGAAACAGGCTGTGGCAATCAGTGGTGGCCAAATCCTTGTAGCCAAGGCCAGCTCTTCTGTTGCCAAAGCAGTTGGTCCAAAGCAAGTTGTGACCCAAGGAGTTGCCAAAGCAATTGTGAGTGGAGGTGGAGGAACCATTGTAGCCCAGCCGGTGCAGGCCTTAACCAAGGCTCAGGTCACTGCTGCTGGTCCTCAGAAGAGTGGATCCCAGGGTTCAGGTAACTAATAATCATGGGGGTCCTTTCAGCAGCAGCTCTGTCCAAAATTTCTTTTGCTGGTGATTTTGTCTGATATCTGGTCCTGCCTAGGAAAGCCCAGTTAGGTTGATGCTATAAGAAGTATATAAAAACGTTTGTTATTTTTTATAGAACATTTTACATAGAGGTGTGTAAGTAGTTTGCTTTAAATTTACACACATGCACACAGTCGTCCCTTGGTATCCGTGAGGGATTGGTTCCAGGATCCCCTGCTTGCAGACGCCAAAATCCATGGATACTCAAGTCCCTCCTGTGAAACAGCATAGTATTTGCATATAACCTATGTATATCCTCCCATATACTTTTTTTTTTGGTAAGAGATAGGGTCTTAATCACTCAGGCTGGTCTCAAACTCCTGACCTCAACCATTCCTCCTGCCTTAGCCTCCCCAAGTAACTGGGACTACAGGTGAGAGCCACCACACTCGGCTTCTCCTGTATACTTTAAATCATATATACATTACTTACAATACCTAATACAACATAAATGCTCAATGTAAATGGTATATAAATAGTTGTTATATAGTGTTGTTTGGGGAATACCAAGAAAAAAAGTCTGTATATGTTCAGTACAGATGCAACCATCCTTTTTTTTTCCTCAAATATTTGAATTTTTTTTTTTTTTTTTTTTTTTTTGGGAGGGGTTCTTCCTCTTGCTCAGGCTGGTCTCGAACTCCTGACCTTGAGCGATCCACCCGCCTCGTCCTCCCAGAGTGGTAGGGTTACAGGCGTGAGCCACCACGCCCGGCCAATATTTGAATATTTTTGATCTGCAGTTGTTTAAACCCATGGATACAGAGGGCCAACTGTACTTGCCAATTAGGACAGTAGACCTTGCCCTAACTTTGACTTTAAACAAATGGGGGAAAATGTGTATTCATTCATAGATAGGGTGATTGTTGAATTAATTGTCTAGCCCACAGTACTTTGAGAGTAGAAGGAATCACTATTCATAATTACGATGGAACATAGGTGTAACCTGAAACTGTTCTGGGCAAAACCAGGAAATCGGCTCACCCTATTTATATACAGATGTAAATGAGTTTATGGCAGGCTCTTCTGGTCTAAATTATTTTTTAATTAGCAAGATATTTAAGACTGTCAGCCTTTAAAGCATTGTGCACCTAGGAAACAAACTGTAAGTTTACTGTTCGTTAGTGTTTTTGTATAAGATTTAATTGCCCCTATTTTAATTTCAGAGTGTTACCTTTAGTTCCATTTATCTTACAGTTTTTCCTCCTTTTTTTTTTTCCTTTACCACTTTAGTAATGGCAACGCTGCAGCTCCCAGCCACTAATTTGGCCAACTTGGCAAATTTGCCTCCTGGCACTAAACTCTACCTTACCACAAACAGCAAGAATCCTTCAGGAAAAGGAAAACTGCTGCTGATCCCTCAAGGAGCCATCCTGCGAGCTACCAACAATGCTAGTTAGTTAAATCATTTGGTTCTTGGGTCTTTGAGTATGTTTATGTCATCTGCCTGAGAGGCAGTTTTTACTTATTTCAGGAAGCATTTCTATAACTGTTTGATGCTATAATGGTAGCATTTGCCCAAATGGATTTAAAACATATGGGTAATTTAACTAGAAGTGAGTTTACTGTTCAGTTTGGGATCAGGGATGAATGGCTTGGAGGAGATAGCTGTTAAGGCTGTGTTGGGAGAAAGTTGTCTGCGTGAACTGTAAATGAAGAGTTCTTCCTTTCAGTGGCATCTGAAAATTGTCTGGTCATACCTGAGGGAAGATCTGTCTTCTTTTCAGTAGCTGGAAGTCTGTTTTCGTTTTAAAGGGGATAGAAATAGGATTAGAATCAAGTGTTTCTGCCTGACATTATTTAGGTGTACTTCTTAACATTTTCTGGGTTTGGAGATAGAAAGAGGAATACAGGCTCTACCTTAGTGTGTACGTCTTAAAGCCCAAAGGAGATTAGGTAGTTTATCTAGGGTTACATAAACTTTTGCTTTAACATATAGAAAAAAACAATTTGGGTGGTGTTGAGAAGGAAAATGTATAAAGGAAATTATTTCCCTCTGAATCAGAAGTAGAATGGTACAGTAGTCAGGTTCATTAGAAATTAACCACCCTTGCCAGAGGGCAGTGTGTAAGCTTATGGCCATTGTGTTTATTGACTATGATGGGTCATTGCCACTCTCTTGCCCTGGTATTTTTTCCTCATACCTAAGCAGTGGCATGTCAAAAAGTTAGATATGTAAGAAAAGGACAATGTGTGTATTCCAAGATAAATCCAGAGAGCTACTCAGATTTTTACGATATCCTTAGGGTCAAAATAAACCATTGAGAAGAAATCTATTCCAGTAATAATCACTGAAATTAAAGTGGGGAAGGAAGTCAAACTCTAATATTTATTGAGTGAATATAGTTCAGGTAGTTCATATACATTACTTGACCAAAAGGGAAGTAAAAAAAGTCTTAAGGCTTTGAAGTGGGATTTAAAAAGCAAAAGAGAATGGGGCCCTGGAGTCATTTTAAATGTGAGGGAAGTCTTATTTTTCCCAAGTCAGGGGAGACAAAATAAGAGAGTACTGCAAAATTACACTAAATCTCAGCAATTTCACTGAAATTGGATGAGATGCTAAAAAGTTTGGAATCAGCTATCTGAGCAAATTCAAGCGTTGATTAAAACACTTGGCTAGAAAATGTCAGTAGCAGGCCCTCTCTTGATCTCCCACAATTAAGTCAAAACACTTGTCAAAGATGAGTTCTTCACTGTCCTCGGAGCTGAAATATAGTCAGCTGCCATTCAATTCAGAGTAAATAGATTTCAGTCTTCTAACTCTAGGAAGTTTTCCTCACTCTTGTCACAGAATAGGTAGATAACAGAAAAGAAGGGCAATAGGAAAGGAGAAGAAATGGTGCTATGAGGGAAACATCTCTCTGGGCTCATTTGTTTTCTCTGTTAAAACATGGCTTGATACTTTTTCATGATGTTTCTGTCATTCATTGTATTTTTAGATCTCCAGTCCGGCTCAGCTGCCAGTGGTAGTAGTGGTACAGGAGGAGGAGGAGGAGGCAGTGGCAGTGGCAGTGGTGGAGGTGGCAGCGGAGGAGGAGGAGGAACAGGAGGAGCACAAAGTACCACTGGCCCTGGAGGGATATCCCAGCACCTGACGTACACATCTTATATCCTCAAGCAAACTCCCCAGGTCTGGTTATTTGTGACTGATCTTTTAAATCATTTAGCTATTCGGTAACTGCTTTTAATGATAGTTGATTTACCTTTCCAGCTCTCGGATCAGGGGTCAATTCTAACATTTTAGCTATGTTATAAATCTATGTTGTTTTGGGCTTGTTTTGAGAGAAGAGAAAATGGAGATTCAGGAAGACATAAGTAACTTATCCAAGATTTTCCTGCTCACCTAATGGTAGAGTTTGGGTTTAAACGCAGATCTTTCTGCCTCAGAGAAAGATTTCTACTGTGCTAATCGCCTCCCAAATCCATGGGGTAATAAACAGTATACTCTACGGTTGAAAACTTGCTCTTAGAAGGGAATAACCAAAGAGACAGCGTCAAGTTGTGATATTTGGAGTTGTGTTAGATTAGATTAGGAATGGGTTTCCACCTTCTTTCTCCTTGTCACTGAAGTCTTTGCTCTCCCCTAAGGAAAGTAGTAGACTTTTGGTTTCAGATGTTCTTACTGAGAAAGATGGATAATTAACAACCTGAATGATTAAATCTAGCTTTCAGGACTAGATTGCAAAACTTGAGTTTCCAACAGCCTGCTCTATAACTACAGTGCAAAGTTTGAGAAGGGGGGATAACTGTTGGAAGTCATACTCAGGGCAGAACCGTTAACCTTTCAGTTATTTTGCTGAGTTGCAGAATCGAAGGGGAGAACATTGTAGCTTATGGGACCTTGTGATTTAAAGGATCAGAGCAATTCATTTGAATTTAACAAATTACTGGTTTGTTCTTTATATTTTTTTCTAACATAGGGCACATTTTTAGTTGGCCAGCCATCACCGCAGACTTCTGGAAAGCAACTGACTACTGGGTCAGTGGTCCAAGGAACCCTGGGAGTCAGCACATCTTCTGCACAAGGACAACAAACACTAAAAGTCATCTCTGGACAGAAAACCACTTTGTTTACACAGGTAAATGTAGGCTCTCACACACCCCAAATATGTGCTGATTGTGGCGTTTATTTGCATATTTACATCTTGTTTCTTTTAACAAAGAAATTAAGATTATGTAAGAAAATGAACAATAAAATGGTATAGAAAAATAAGAATAAATCTTGAGGTTTGGGAAAATATAAGTAGAATGAGAAAATAAGGCCCCAGGGGTTATTCAGATATGCAAACAGTAAGATATCCTGCACAGTTAATAAAATGAGGTGTAAATGTGACACCAAAAGCAAAATGAAAAGCATGATCAGTTATAAAATCATATTATTTGTGAGAGAGAAAAAAAAATACCCACTGTTTCCTTATAAGAAACAAAGATTTTGTGACATTCCATTATAATATTTCTTTGGAGAGACTTCATGTAGAAAACCCTGAATAGTGTAATAGGCAATTTCAGCCCCACTATCCATATAGTAAGCAAGTGCTGCAGTGGGATTTGTTACATGTTTCTGCAGCATTTTTTAGTATAAACCTAAGAATAATGATAGGAAATTTTGTAATAATGACAAGTGAGGGATATTATAATCATTTATAGGATGATCCTATAGCTGGATCTCAAAAACTTACCAAATGAAACAAAGGTGCAGGATATATACAGTAAGATACCATTCATCAAAAAACAATGCATTTTCTATGACTATGTGTAGATCAGCATTTCTCAAAGCATGGAGTGAATATTAGATTTTTATCAAATGCTTTTTCTATTGAAATGATTACATGATTTTTCTTGTTTAGTTTATTAATGTGGTGAATTATATTGACTGAGTTTTCAAATGTCTAACCAATCCTGCATTCCTAAGATAAACCCCATTTGGTTATCATGTATTATCTTTTGCTAATATATTGGATTTAATGTGATAAAATTTTGCTTAGGATTTTTGCCAGGGATATTTGTCAGTAGTTTTTGTAGTTTCTATTTTGCTCGATATCATAGTAATGCTGACCCCATAAAAGGAATTGGAAACTTTTCCCTCCTCTTTTTTGGAAGAGTTTATATGGAATTGGTACTATATATTTCTTTCTTAACTATTTGGTTGAATACACCAGTAAAGCCGTATTGGTGTGGAGTTTTCCTAATTGAGAAGGCTTTTAACTACAATTTCAGTTTATTTAATAGGTATAGGACAGTTCAGATTATTTATTTCTTCTTGAGGGAAGCATGTTTGTATCTTTAAAGGGATTTTTCCATTCAACTAAGCAGTCAGATTATTGGCTTTAAGTTGTTCGTATTCTCTTATTACCCTTCAGTGTCTGTGGAACCTTTGGTGATGTTCTCTTTTTCATTTTTGATTTTGGTAATTATGCATCTTCTCTTTGTTTCTTGAACAGTCTAGCTAGAGGTTTATTAATTGTGTTGATCTTTTCAAATTCCAGCATTTGGTGTCCTTTACTACTAATTTCCCTTTAGTTAAATGTCCCCAGCTATTTCAGACAGATATGATGCCTCATACTTCTCTTTAGGCAGTTCTTTTAAACCTTAGAAGATTTCTTACCTGCTGGGGTTACAGCCAGTACAGCTTACCCTCTTCTGCCACAGATGAGACAATTACTGTTACCCTTCTCTCCTTACAAGGCCTGCCTATCCTTAGATCAGGTTACTTGGTTACCTTGAAATTTCAACCTTCTCATGTGTTCCCAAAAAATAAGGTTTTGTAGTTAATCCAGCCTTTTCTTGCTAGGATCAGAGCAACATGCTTTATAGCCTTTTGCATCCTGTGTGCAATCAGAAGTCCCTCACCAGTGGATTTTAATGTAACAGAGAAGCTTAATTACTGTGGTTTCAGATCATGTAATACAGCCAAACTTGAGGAAATTTCCGCTTGTTTAGCTTTGGTGTAGCATCAAAGAAGAATAAGAACAGTATTTATCTTCCCTTTTCCAGCTATAGCCTTCAGTATAGCTTGAAGTCTGGTAAATTGATGCTTCCCATTTGTTCTTTTTCCTTAAGGTTGCTTTGGCTATATGGGGTCTTCTATGGTTCCATATGAAGTATAGATTATTTTTTCTAGATCTGTGAAAAATGATGTTGGTATTTTAATAGGGATTATATTGAATCTGTAGATTACTTTGAGTAGTATAGACATCCTAACAATGTTGATTCTGCTGATCCGTGAGCATGGTATGGTTTTCCATCTGTTTACGTTCTCTGCTGTTTCCTTCCTTAATGTTTCATAGTTCTCCCTGTAGAGGTCTTTCACCTCCTTAATTAAATGTATTCCTAGGTATTTTATTTTCTTTGTTGCTATTGTGAAAGGTATTGAGTCTTTGATTTGGTTGTCAGTTTGACTGTTGTTGGTATATATGAATTCTACTGATTTGTATACATTGATTTTGTGACCTGAGATTTTGCTGAACTTATTTATCAATTCTAGTAGTCTCTTAGCAGAATCTTTGGGGTTTTCTAGATACAAGGTCATATAATCAGCAAAGAGCAATAGTTTGACCTCTTCTGCCCCCATTTGGATGCCCTTGATTTCCTTCTCTTGTCTGATTGCTCTGACTAGAACTTCCCATGCTATGTTGAATAAAAGTGGTGATAGAGGGCAACCTTATCTGGTTGCAGTTTTAAGCGGAAATACTTTCAACTTTTCCTCGTTCAGTATGATGCTGGCTTTGGGTTTGTCGTATTTGGCTTTTATCATTTTGAGGTAAGTCCCTTCTATGCCTATTTTGTTAAGCATTCTTATCATAAAAGGGTGCTGAATTTTGTTGAATGCTTTTTCTGCATCTACTGAGAGGATCATATGGTCTCTGTTTTTGCTTCTGTTTATGTGGCGAATTACATTTATGGATTCGCGTATGTTGAGCCATCCCTGCATCTCTGGGAGGAAGCCCACCTGGTCGCGATGGATTATTTTTTTGATAAGCACCTGGATTCGGTTTGCTAGTATTTTGTTGAGAATTTTTGCATCTATATTCACAAGGGATATTGGTCTGTAGTTTTCTTTTTCTGTTGCATCCTTTCTTGGTTTTGGCATCGGGGTGTTGTTGGCCTCATAAAACGTGTTCGGGAGGATTCCTTCTTTCTCGATGTTGTGGAATAATTTCTCCAGGATAGGCACCAGTTCTTCTTTGTAGGTCGGGTAAAATTCGTGTGTGAAACCATCTGGTCTGGGACTTCTCTTTTTAGGAAGATTTTTTTATTGCTGCTTCATTTTCAGTACTCGATATTGGTCAGTTCAGGAATTCTATTTCTTCCTGATTGAGCCTAGGGAGGCTGTGTGTTTGTGTTTCTAAGAGTTGGTCCATTTCCTCCACATTTTCAAGTTTATGTGCCTAGAGATTTCTGTAGTATTCAGAGATGATATTTTTTATTTCTGTGATATCAGTTGTAATTTCTCCTTTTTCATTCCTGGTTGAGATTATTAGAGTCCTTTTTTTTCTGCTTCTAGTTAATCAGGCAAGAGGCATGTCAATTTTGTTTATCTTTTCAAAGAACCAGCTTTTTGTTTCATTAATCTTTCATATCATCCTTTTGTTTTTGATTTCATTTAGTTCTGCTCTGATCTTGGTTATTTCTTTTCTTCTGCTGGATTTGGGATTGGTTTGCTCTTCTTTTTCCAGTTCTTTGAGTTGATTGATTAGATTGTTGATTTGTGATATTTCTGTCTTTTGCATGAAGGCATTTAAGGATATGAATTTACCTCTCAGGACTACTTTAGTTGTGTCCCACAGATTTTGATAATTTGTGTCCCCTTTATCATTTAGCTCAAAGAATCTTTTGATTTCCATCTTAATTTCCTCCTTGACCCAATAATCATTCAGCAGTCGGTTGTTTCGTTTCCATGACTTTGTGTAGAGTTGAATGTTTCTGTTGTAGTTCATTTCTGATTTTATTCCACTGTGGTGTGAGAAGATTCATAGTATAATTTCTATTTTTTTTAATTTGTTGAGACATGTTTTGTGGCCTACGATGTGGTCAGTCTTAGAGAATGTCCCATGAGCTGATGAGAAGACATATATTCAGTGGGTTTTTTGGGTAGAAAGTGATGTAAATGTCAGCCAGGCCCATTTGTTGTAGAGTTCTGTTTAAGTCCATTGTTTCTTTGTTTATTTTGTGTTTGGAGTATCTCTCCTGTTCTGTCAGTGGGGTGTTGAAGTCCCTGGCTATTATGGTGCTGCTGTGTATCATTTTGTTTAGATCAAGTAGGATTTGCTTTATGAATCTGGGCGCTCTTCTGTTGGGTGTGTAAATATTTAGAATTGTTATCTCTTCTTGTTGAATTGTTCCCTTTACCATTATATAATGACCATCTTTGTCGTTCATTACTTTTGTTAATTTGAAGACTTAAGTTATCTGACATCAGAACTGCTATGTCAGCTTTCTTTTGGTTTCCATTTGTGTGGAATATTGTTTTCTATCCCTTCACCTTGAGTCTCAATGAGTCCTTGGGGGTTAGATGTGTTTGCTGAGGACAGCAGATACTTGGCTTGTGTATATTTTTCCATTTGGCCAGCCTATGTCTCTTCAGTGGGCAGTTCAAGCCATTCACATTTACTGAAAGAATTGATAAGTTGGGTGGATTTCTCTTCATCCTGTTGAGTAGAACTTTGTTGCTTTGCTTTATGTCTTGAGCCATTGTGGTATCTGGCCTTTGACCTTTAGCTTTTGGATGATTTTACACTGATGAGTGTCTATTGTGCTGATCCATGTGTAATACAGTTCTGAGTACTTCCTGCAGGACAGGTTTTGTTTTGACAAATTCCCTCAGTGTTTGCTTGTCTGAGAAAGACTTTATTTCCTCCTCACATAAGAAACTTAGTTTTGCAGGATAAAAAATTCTAGGCTGGGCATTATTCTGTGTGAGAAGGCTGAGAATGGGGCCCCAGTCCCTTCCAGCTTGTAACGTCTCAGTTGAAAAGTCCGTAGTTAGTCTGATGGGTTCTCCTTTGTAAGATATACCTGCTGCTTTTGCCTCACATCTTATAGAAGGGCCTCTTTCGTGTTGATTTTGGCCAGTCTGATGACTGTGTGTCGTGGTGTTTTCCTCTTTGTGATGAATTTCCCAGGAGGCCCTTGAGCTTCTTGTTCCTGGATATCTAGATTTCTACCAAGAACAGGGAAATTTTCCTCCATTATTCCCACAGATAGATTATCCAACCCTTCTGTATTTTCTTTTTCACCCTCAGGAATGTCTGTGGTTCTTATGTTAGGCCTCTTCATATAATTCCATATTTCTTGTAGGCTTTTCTCTTTTCTCTTATTTCTCTGCTCTGTCTCTGTGACTGACTTATTGAATTGAAAGACATTGTCATCGAGCTCTGAGATTCTTTCTTCTGCTTGATCTAACCTATTCTTAAGGCTTTCCACTGTATTTTGTAATTCCTTGTAAATTTTTCATTTCCAGAAGTTCTGTTTGATTTTTCTTTAATATTTCGATTTCTTTAGTGAATTTTCCATTCATTTCCTGCATTCTTTTTGTGGTTTCTTTGTGGTGGGTTTCCATTTTATCTTGCATTTTATTGAGCTTCCTTACAATCCATGTTCGAAATTTTTCATCTGTCATTTCAATATTCTGATTTTGGTTGATACCCATTCCTAGAGAACTGGCATTCCCTTTTTGGGGTGTGCTTTCAGTTTGATCCTTCATACTTCCAGAGTTCTTTTGCTGATTCTTTCCCATCTAGAGCAGCTATTGCTTCTTACCTTTGGATTTTCTTCTACTTCTGGATTCTAATCATGACTTCTTCAGTTACTAGCTGTGTGGCCCTTTTAAAGTCACTGAGCTTAATATCCTCATCTCTAAAATGGAAATAAAATCTACCTTATAAAGTTACTGGAAAGAATGACCTATGAATGACCTAGATATGTACACATGCTCTCTGCCATTCCTGGCAAATAGTAAGCTCTCAGAAACTGATAAATGAGTTAGAATTGAGGAGTTGCAGCAGAGATCTTATGGCCTGTGAAGCCAGAAATAATTACTCACGTCATTTACCAAAAAAAAAAGGTTTGTTGAGCCTTGATTTAGACCACTGGTTCTATAATTTGTTGAATGGTTCTCCAGATTCTCAACCTGGATCTAGTCTAGAGTACCCACTTAAATCTGGCCCTGTCTGTGTTTGATTTTCATGTTTAAAGATTATATGTACCTTTAAGAGTATCTTGGACTGAATTATTTTGAAAACAAGTGGCGTATTATTTTTGAAAATACTGCTGCCAAATAGTAACTTGCAAATACATTCATTTACTTGTTTTATATTAGGGGCAAAAGAACATTTGTAGGTAAAAGGTCATAGAATTTAGAGCTTATTAGAAAGACGTATGCATAAATACCTCATATAGTTTTGATTGGCAAGACTTTCTTGAATACTCTCCAATTCTTAGGGTATATCTCAAATGTAGATAAGGAATAAATTATGCCTGTGAACAAAGGCAACATCATTACTTCTACCCACTTTGTTTCTGCAGGCAGCCCATGGAGGACAGGCATCTCTAATGAAAATATCTGATAGCTCCTTGAAGTCTGTGCCAGCCACCTCACAACTCTCAAAACCTGGAACCACAATGCTGAGAGTAGCAGGAGGGGTCATCACAACTGCCACTTCCCCAGCTGTGGCCCTGTCAGCAAATGGTTCTGTACAACAGGTGAGAATTGGCATGGCAGTAGAAAGTCAAAATGAAACATGAAGGAAGTATAAACATGGGGAAGATACTGAGCAGGCACACCAGGGGGCCTTTTTGTTCTTTTTTAAAAAATGGGAATACCATAAATTTCACCATGTTATAGCATACAATTCAATGGTTTTTATCATATTCACAGGTTGTGCAACCATCGTTATCATTATCTAATCCCAGAACATTTTTATTATCCCAGAAGGAAACCCCGTATCTATTAGCAGTCACTCCCTACTCTTCCCTCCCCACAGCCCTAGGCAACTTCTTATGTACTTTGTTTCTCTGTGAATTTGTCAATTCTGGACATTTCATATCTGTGTAGTCATAGACATACAGCCTTTTGTGTCTTCTTCTTTTGCTTATTGTAACTTTTCAGAGTTCATCTATGTTGTAGCATGCATTAGTACTACATTCCTTGTATTCAGTTTTATGGATATACTGGCTAGGAGTGGTGGCTCACACTGTAATCCTAGCACTTTGGGAGGCCGAGGTAGGAAGACTGTTTGAGGCCAGGAGTTCGAGACCAGCCTGAGCAGAAGCGAGACTCTGTCTCTACAAAAAATAGAAAAAGTAGCCAGCCATGGTGGCATGCACCTGTCATCTGAGCTACTCAGGAGGCTGAGGCAGGAGGACCACTTGAGCTTAGAAGTTTGAGATTGCAATGAACTATGATGACACCACTGTTGTCTGGCCTGACCAACAGAGCGAGACCCTGTCTCCAAAAAAAAAAGTAAAGTTTTATGGATATATGCTACATTTAGTTTATTAATCCGTCAGCTGATGGACATTGGGTTGTTTTCTACTTTTTTTTT